GACATAGATGGGGGCTTAGGCATTTGATTTTGAAGAGTTTTTGTCCTTTGTGTTTGATCTTTTGGGTATCCATCTTTTGTTAGATGATGACCCATGAGATGACTTTGGGTACACCGATCTAGGTTTGATCAATTTCGGTTTCGCCAAATTATCTCTTGAATGATGTTTCATAATCTTTTTGTCTTTATTTTCTTTGACAGCCTGATTTCTATCCTTGTTTTGCATTCCAATCACCATCACTGGAACGTGACCTCAAGGAATTTCTTTTGAAAGATCTTCCTCGTGATATGTTCTACCTACCTTGTGCATAGTATGGAACATATGCACGATTTAGGCAGTTTCTCGCAATGTGTCCAAGTGTTCCACAGTGGAAACATGTGTTTCTTCATATAAAAGTCGTTACTGCTTGTCCCCGATTGTGGTCTAGATTGTGTCCACAAGTACACTTACAGTTGGCAGTCTGTTTGACTTGTTTTGGTGGACTATATTTACTAACAGCAAGTCCATTAATATTGGAATTTACAACATCATCAAACATATTAGAAACAAAAGAAGTATCAGTTTTCAAAGAGACATTGTTTGAGCATTCAACAGAATTAACGAAAATAGCAGTATCAGCTTTCAAAACATCATTTTTCAAAAGCAGTGTGATTTTTCAAAACAGAAACACTTTCTCTATCCTCTTTCCTGTCTTGCACTAGGGATTCATCTGCATGTGAGGTAGAAACATTAGTATCGTTCACCCTATCATTATTTACTATCTCAACTATAATAGGTGTGCCATATTGTAAGTGTGCTTCCCTTTCTATTTCTTCCTCAGTCAGAGGAGTAAAAGTGTAGTTATCATTGAATGGAGGAGCAACAATATCATACCCAAGACCTACATTCTTTTTGTCTTTCCATCTAAGTTGCTTTTCAATCATTGTCCCAACTTTCTTACTTGACACAACAAATTTTTTAAAATTAAACTGTGCATTTCCAAATCTAATTTTCAATGTGTCAAGCTCATTAGTTAGACTGACAATTTTTTATTGAGCATAATCATAGTGTTCACATTTAGTGTCGTATTCTTCCCTAATTCTTTTTAGATCTTTGGTTTGGGCCTCTAATTTTTCTTTAAGGGTATTTAGGCCTTTCTGAGAGTATATCCTTCATATTTAAGACCCTCAATTTCCCTAATTAATAATTCATGTTAATCTCGATAATGTTTAATTTTTATCACTACAAGCTTGAGTACAGAAAGTTTCACTAACCTCTTTTGTGGCAGGTGTAGTAGAGACCATGAAGGCGAATTACAGTTCTATCATCTCTTCTTCAGCTTCCTCTACCGTTGAACTTTCACTTATCTATGCCAAGTTTCTTGTTTCATGTCTTGTCAGATTTAGCGCTTGTATTTGATCCTCCCACTCAAATCTTCGTGCCACCATCGCCAGATTAGTTGTTTCATTATTAGTTGCAGCTCCTCTGTTGTTCCCTGCAGGCACCAACATTCTATCGGGATTGTTCCTGGTATCTGGCTTGGTGCATTCACGAGCAAAATGACCTGGCTCATGACAGTTGAAGCATCGAAGCTTGCTCTTATTGAATCACACCTTCTTCTCCACATTCATGCCCTAGTTGTTCTTCCTTGTGCGCTGAGTAAACTTTTTTGCCCTAAACACAGTCGTAGTTATTTGCCATGTGATGTCCATCTTTTCTATGTCCTCAAGATGAATCTGATCCAGTTCTCCAACCATGATTAGAGGGGCCAAATCTCCTGCCAAGAGAGCATTGTAGTAATTCATGAATCCAGCCATTAAAGCCATGTTCTCTTCAACTTCTTTTGGAATCGATGAAGTTTGAATTGTAGTTGTGGTTTTAGAACTTGAAGGTTCCAGATATTGATAAGGTACAACAGGGTGAACATAATGTGTATGTTGAGCTGAGAAAACACTATTTGTTGAGATTCCTAGATTGGCAGTAGAATAGGAATTCACATGGTTGATTTCATGTTGCTTATCATCCATGACACATGCCTTGATTATAGCCATCACTTCTACAAGGGAAAGCTTGCTCAGATCTCTAGTCTTCTTGATCACTGACACATTCATGTCCTAGCTATGTAGAAGAGAATTCATTAGCTTCTTGTTAATCTCTGTGTGTGGTAGATTGATCCCAGCCGTACTCATCTTAGTAGTGAGAGTAATAAACCTTTGCAACTCAACTTCAAGAGACTCCCCTAGAACATGATTAAACATGTTGAACCTCTAGCGAAGCAGGTCTTGTCAACTCTGCCTCATGTCTTCATTTCCTTCATAAACATCAATCAAAGCTTCCCATAAATCCTTTGCAAACGTGTATTCCCTAAAGCCTTCGGCAATTTTAGGAGATAAGGCCATAGTAAGAGTGGCAAGAGCTCTATCATGTTCGTCAACCTTTTCAAAATCCTCATCCGTGTAGTTCTCTATCCTTTTATCAACAACAATTTTAGCTTCATCATCCAAAGTTGTTGTAATCCTGACTGGACCTCTGAGAATGCTCTTCCATATCTTGGCATCCTTCATATTAATGCACTTCTTAATTCTGAACTTCCATTCCAAAAACCCATCAGCGGGCAGAAGACGAGGAATTCGAGTGGTAGTCCCCATGATAGAATCCAACTCCTGATATACTGAACTGTTGTATTGAGATTCCATTTTTATTAACAAAACTAAGAACACCCAAAATTTAAAAAATTGACCAAAAACAAGGAAAGTCAACAGGTGAGTTGACCGAAAACTCCAAAAAAACGTTGACCGAAAACAAAGAAAATGTTGGCCAAGAACTGATGATTCCGGCCGAGAACTAAAACCAAATACGCTTATTTCTTTTACAAATTTCGGTCAAAACATTGACCGAAACCTTCAACTTTGACCAAGAAACACTGAAAACCCTTAAGATGTTGGAACCAAAAACCTTGCTTTCTTATCAGGAAGTTACCAACAACCCTTAAATTTTGTGATTTTAATTAATAAAGATCCAAATTTAATCCCGTAAATTTAGATGAATCCACAATGAACACTAAGAATCCCAAGAACAATTAATCGATGAGCAACAAGAATTCTATCAATTTAAATTGGAACTTATCAAATTTCGATTAAACCAATGATCTCAAAACAGCTAAAAACAAGTCCCTAAGGTCCTTGAATCGATTGATACCCTTTCAAAGTTTTGATACCAATTGTAAGTCCCAAAACAGTTTGCTCAATAAGATATCAATCAAACTATCTAAAGAATGTGGAATATAAATCAGATAATGATTCAAGAACACACAAATAACTCTTAATGCACACAATTTATTGGATGAAATCGTCTGGTACACAAAGAAACGCTTAACAGCCGAATATTATGACAATCGAACAACTAGAACTCTTAAACGGCTGAAAACTATTTATATATACCAAGTACAAAGCCTTAACAGGCCCAAGCCCAATCTGACCGAAATCACCATAGTGATTTCGGTCCCCAAAACCGAAAACACCATAAGCTCACTATCTAAAGCCCAAGAACAATAATAGACTAGAAACCCAGTATAAACCATTTAAATATGACCGAACAGGAACTTTGAACTTCTTGTTGACAGTAGTAGAGAGTTCAATACCTATTAATGCTTGATAAGCATAATAACATTGCTCGCCCTAACCACAGTATATCAATAATTTTTCAAAACTCTTTCGAACAACGTATCAGGAGTTATCAGAATAATGTTGATTATTTTAACCAAAGACCACACCTCTTCTTCTTTCTTTCCTAGAACTGCGTGGAAACGAATTTTCAGCTTCTTGAACTCATCTTGATCCTTATGAACTAAGCAAAAATGAACATTAAATAACTGAATGGAAAGTCCAGTTGATTGAAGTTTGAATCTTAAATAGCAACACTTTTCTTTGGCCTCTTATCAAAATCATCTACTTTACCAAAAGTTGCACTTTCAATCGTTTTATAACACCAAAATTTGTTAGGGTCCGCCCTACTAAGACTTAGTGGATCATTCACTCTCATCCTCATTATGATGTTCAATTGCTTCATCATTTCTATTTCCAATTCTTGCAATTTCTTCTTCTCTTCTAGTGTAGGTTCCACATTAACACCTTTCCCTTTATTTCTTTGATCAGAAGTAGTAACACGTTTACCTATTGAAGAACCTCAACCTCTTTCACTAATGTTCAACCCTTTCTTTGATTGTATCTTTGACAAATTAACTTCGACATTTGGTGTAGCAGTCGTTTTTGAAGTTGTCATGATGGTTTTTATTGGTAAAGTTGATGGAATATGAGTGGAGATCAACTTCCTAACTATTTTTCCTTTATCTTCTCCGCTGTCTTTCGATGACCCAACCCCTTTTTCACCCCCTTGTAACACATTTACAGACGGACGTGCAGTATTAGTTGGCAATTAAAGAACAAGGTCTAAAATTGGAGCAAGTTCTATTTTGAAACAAGATTCAACCGAGGAAGCCACTGAATAAATTTGATCTTTAGATATCAAAGTTATTGATAAATCAAACTTCGACAAAGATTCATGAAAACCAATAAGAGAGTTTCTGATATTGGCAAACACCTTCACATCGGCTTCTTTCATAAGCTTCAACGTGCCAATATATTCCTTGTTGAAAGAATGAACATCTTCAATCAAGGTACAAGTTGCATTCATAAGAACATCAACTTTATCCTTAATGTTCGCACCAAATTGATCAAGCTTCGTTCTATCTTTATTAAACAAATCAACAAAATCTTTAATCTTTGCTTCATGGACTCTTGCAAAGTGTTCACAATATTCTAAATAATTGCATGTCGCTCTCGAGCAACATTTTGGAACTCCATCAAATCATGCATTTAAGAACTCAAATGAGCAGCCATACGTTCTTCTAAGCTTGTCATAGAAGAACTAATCAAATTACTCATCCTTGACTCTTGAAACTTCATTAAAAATTCAACTTCCTGACAACTCACCGAGGATTTTCTAGCATTGTCATTGAGAAATTAATCAATGGCTTTGAGTTTGGAATTGAGAATCATATACTGCTTTCCTGACATAATCATGTTGTCATCTATATCTTCTTCATGATTAAACTCAAGCTCAGCAAATCCGATCGTTTCATCTTCATCGGTAGGTGGCGATTCTTGGCCTATTAACCGAAAAGAAAACAATGAAGTGATGGATTCTTTGATGATACATGCGAATGTAGGTTAAATTGTAGGAACTGTTGTTGAGATGACAGTTAAGGTTGGTAGTGGTGATGAAGGTGGTGGTGGTAGAACAATAGAAGTATCAATATCAAATGTCAAATTTTCTTCACCAATATTAATATTTGAGTCCTTATTGGACTTGCAACTAGGACCTTCATATGGTGTAGCTCCAATCTTCTCAGGAAGAGAAGTAATGATTGGCTCACTAGTAGAAATGTTTGTATCCGCATTAGATGCATTTACATTGACATCAGGAATACTCGTCTCCTCGATATTCGATTCGACAGTGGCATCCTTTCTATGTGAATCATGGAAAGTGAGATCATCATTCCGAAAACTTCATCTTCTGGCTTTTCACTATCATGATCTGCTTCAAAAGTAATTGGTGTTGACAAAGCTATAGGAAAAGGCTCTTCGACTGTCTAAGCCATAAGCTTTTTAAATTGATTAAATAACCTCGTAGCTGAGTGTTTGCGTTTCCTTTTCTTTTGAACTTCTTCACCAGTAATGTCAACTACTAGAAAACAACCATTTAATGACACACAATGCGTGTCATAAAAGGGCCAGATGACACGCTTATGCATGTCATTAAAGCCCCAGTCTAACAAGCATTTACATGTTATAAACTTATGACATGCATTTTAGGAAACACAACTTGCGTGTCATCTTCCTTTATGATATGGACTTTAATGACATGCATTTACATCATATTTTACGACACGCTCTTTGCATGTCATACACAGAAAAACAATCCATTTCAATATATATATATATATATATATATATATATATATATATATATATATATATATATATAATCATTCCAATGCTAAATAAATGTAATACATTAACCTTTTCATCGTATCACATCAATTTTCCTAAGAAAACTTCATCTCCAATTAAGAGAAATTTTCAGACCTATTAACCAAATATCTATAATTAACGTATATTTAGTGGCACCAAATATAAGCTCTAGTGCACAATAATATGCTAAAAGAAACCTTAGGCTCTCTTTTTACCTATGAAAACATTGAAGAAGATAAACAAGTCTTAAGTAATAAAGTAAAAACAACATGAAAGTGAAATGCTATAACAAACAAATAAAGTAAAGTAGGTTCCTATTTCCTGCAAAGACACAAAGGCTAACTCACTTGGTAGAATCCTATTCGGGTCAGTGTTATCGATAGCGATAGCGAGGTAATAACGACAACCTACCTATATGCTATGTGGAGATAGCGAAGAAATAGCGATGGCTATTTCATTTTAGCGAATGCCTATTAAAAATTAATACTACTTTTACCTTCACCTTATTAGCAATTATAACTAATAAATAAGCTAAAAACCAAGACTATTATTTCAATTAAGTTCTAAAACATGCATATTACAAAAAAAAAAAAAGAAAAAAAGTGTTAATTTTAGATATACAATGCTCTCTTTGACTTAGTGAACTAAAAACCCTAAAACAGTTCTATTTATACTAGATTTAAAAAAAAATAATAATAATAATAATAAAATTTTAAAAAGTTAAATAGGTCACTATTCAGTCGCTATGGGGTTGCATCGCCTCGCCTCGCTATTAACTATAGCGATCGCTATGGTCGCTACTGACAACACTGATTCGGGTTGGAAGCCATGGGACTGGGTTGATACCAGAACTACACCTTAACTCAACAATTCCCTAATTAGTATATAACTTATAAGTACATTGTTATTATGGGCATAAAAATAAAGCATCAAGTTGTTCAATTAAACAACATAAATGATCATGGGATGGAGAATACCTGAAAATACATTATGATAAGACACCCAAGTCATTTTAACTTAAAAGCTTTCAAGAAACAAAGAGGTTGCAATTTCATAGAAAATTGAGTTGACTATGAAACAACAACCTTTTAGCACCCGATTTATATCACCATTTAGAAACATCAATGAAAACTAAAACGAAGAATGAGGAAGTCATATATTACCTCATCCATTATTTTGGAGTTATAATATTAGGAATGTGTTGGTCTTGTTATACATGGGTTTGTGTCTGGCTTGTAGGTCTTGATGTATACAGTTAACAGGGACAACATACATCACCCGTATGGGTATCTCAGTCAAAGCACCAGCTAACCTGATGAGGATTAAAAGGTTTTAAACATGAAAACTCGAGAATTCACCCATCGGTTAAAATAGAGTATAAATAACTAGCCCTCCATAACCAGCATTCATATTGTTAGTATAAATATGGTCACATGCATCACTACTACTACTGTTAGTTGCACCATTTGGATCACTTCCATCATCATCATCATCATCACTATTGCTAAACTCATTTGATTGATTTCCAGTATTACCCTTTTGTATATAACTTGCCCCAACAGAAAATGAAATACTGGTGTTGGAATTTTGGATCACGATGCATGTGTTGTGCACAATATTTTTTCCTCTGGTGTGTAATTGTGGTGCGCCTCCAGTTTTTCCCATATGTTCTTCTACATCTTTCGGATTCAGGTACTGAAAGATTATCGTTATCATGTTTGTTGCTTGATTTGTCAGAATGTTAAACTACAAAAAAGAAAAGTGTCTCTGTGATTAAATATAATTGTATTTGTATCATTATTTATCTTGAATAACATAGTGATCTAAGATTTTGATTTGTTATAGTTTGTGAAGTTAAGAGTCATTTTTGTTAATCGGTATCAGTTATAGAGAAAAGGGTAAAATGGACATTTACTCATATCCAGAGAGTGCGTTCAATTTAAATAAGATAACAGTCTAAATTTACGCAAGTGGTGACCGGATAAATGATGTTTAAAATATTTGAGTAAATCAATAGGACGTTGTGTGACAACTTCTTTTCAAAATTCCCAAACTACCCTGTAACAGAAAAGATGCTAATTTGTGTTTTTTTTTTTTTTGTTTCCCTTTTTACACTTTCTTCTAGAAAAAGTGTATTGCAATGGAAAAATAATAGTATTAAAAAAAACGCCAAGCCAATAAACTTTTGTAAAATCTATATTGCAAATTTAGTTAGGTTCAAGAATATCTTTACCACATAGTTTTTTTTTTTTTGGTCATGGTACTTGCATATATGGCTACTTTTAATATATTTTAGTTCATGATACAAAGACAACTTAAAATTCTACAAATAAAGAGCTACTAGAAAACAGCTAATATAAGAAAAGTATTATAAAGAGCGATTGGAAGGGAGTTCCATTCAAAACATTCCTGGATAGATCACTATGACAGATAAAAAATAAACAATTTTAGCTGTGTTTCAATAATAATAAATAACAAATATAAATCTCACAAAGCAACAACAATTTTAGCATATGACAGAGATAAAAAAATAAACAATTTTAGCTTTCTTAACTTCCCAAGATCATCAATTTCTCAATCTTACGTGTATCTAGACCTCAAAAAGCAACAATAATTTCATCCAGATATCTATTAACACCAAGAAGATCACAAAAATGTAGCTTTCAACAGATATATCAATCCCTCATCACATAAAAAAGGAATATTAAAGTCAGAAATTTAACAAGATATCGCACTATCAGCTCATTTAGTTTTTACAACCCGACATCTTTCCATGAACTGAATGACTTCAAAAATTAGAACAATCGTTGTGAATTACATGAATAACTTTAGTGATGCATAAGTATAAACTAGAAATATATATTAACTTATAAAAACTTAAATAGCATGAAATGGAAAGCATGCATGTTCTTCAATCCCACAACCGAAGTGAAGACATGTGTTTGAGTGCAAATAACAACAATTTTACCAAGTTATTCATTCATAATTTTGTAAATCCCATCATTTATACTTGCATATATTAAAGAAGTTGTGTCATGTGTGGTTAGATGTAAATGACAACTATGTTTCTTTGGGATATTTTGTCAAACACCTGGCGACTGCCATTTATTTCACTAGGTTAGAAATCAATTTCTTAAACATTAGAGGAGAAATTATTGAGGCAAGTAAATCATTTAACTATCAATAAGAATTAAAAGTAATAGAATAGCACCTTTCATGGTATGTGGATGCTTTCCCACAAACTCCTTTGAAGGTACCACAAGTTTAATAGCTACAAGTTTGAAGCCCTTATGTTCAAATCTGGCTATAATCTCCAATTTCTTGAAAAGAGTTAAAGGTCAAAATAATTCACTGGCAAAGATGAGGGATTGAAGGTTAAATTAGTAAATTAACATTCCTCTTTGCACAACATCAGACTTGATCACAATGAAGGTTCGTTCCATCTGTAAAAAGATAAGTAATCATTTGTTAAGATAAAATCATAGAAAATGACGCAGATTTATTAGGTCTGAATTGTAGGCTCATGTATTCATACAACTTTCTCTTAGGCATTTAATCAAGCACTTCGCAGGCACAATTGCAAACATATACATGGAAGAAAATGAGAAAGGATCACATACTACCTCTCAGACATGAACGAGAAGGAATTAGAAACTTCAAATAGAAATACAAACGTATACATACACGTGTAGGTTTAGCTCAGAATACTCGCAAAATCTGCATCTTTGACACCAAGCCTTGTAATTTCTTCAAAATATAATCAATGGACGGAGATATTCATGGGTTTAGCTCAAAATCTTCCAAACACATGCGTCTTTCACAGCTATAACTTCCCAATTCTTCAAATTTCTTTTGAATACGTTCAATGGTTGAAAATACTGCCTTCTAAAAACGTCGTAGTGCTTCACACCAACACGTCAGACGAGGAGAATAGATATGTAGGAAGGTAGGAGGCGAGTCCTAGGGTTAAAGCATGAGTGAGAACCATTATGGGTGATCGGTGATCGGATTTAATCATAGATCCGATGTGGTTTGATGGTGGTGGCGGCAACTTTGGCTTTGTAGAGAGAAAGAGGGTGTGATGAAGGTCTGACGGGAGCAGACTGCAGAGATAGAGGAAAGCGGATCTTCAAAAAATTTGGATTTTCTAAATTTCCCCTTTACACCTCGTTTACTAGGAAAAAAAGAAAAAAAAAATTAATGTTCTTAAGTTCGTTTTAACTTTCCTTTGGATTTTGTAGAATTTGGAAAAAAAAATAAAATAATTCATTTTTCTTCCGCTTCTTTCCAACTCAGGAACACAAAAGAAAATTTTATTTTCCTTTTCTTTCTCTTCTTTTCTCTCGTAACTTTTTTTTTTATTCTCTTCTTTTCTTTTGTTAAACTCGGGAACGAGGCGTTAAGCTTAGTAGGAAGAATGAACGCCTTCGGTTTTTTTTCTTTCCATGTGTTACATTCAATTTCATTTGTCAAATCTTATTTTAAATTAATTTCTTTTTTATATCATTTTATAGGTTTTTCTATTTTAATAAATTTCATATAATATTTTAATTAAATGTGAGATTCATGTATTATATGGGTTTATTTAAAAAAAATATATGAAATTTTAACAATTTGAAAATTTTAAATTTATAAAAAAAAAATGAGAAAAATTCTAAATTATTAAAATTAATGAGACTTTAATACATTAAATAAATTACATATATAAACTATTTCTAATAAATATCTTACATATATATATATATATATATATATATATATATATATATATATATGACCTTACATATTAAATGTGGAATTTTTATTTAATAAAATGAAAAATACAATAAAATGACAAGTGGAAAATAAAAAATTTAAAAATTTTAGAAAATGTCATGTGTCCAAATAAAGGAGAATGGGACATGTGGCAAAAAGATTTTGATTTATTAGGAATGATGGAATACTTACAATAAATATAGTAATAAATGAATATCAATATCATTAATGGACTTACATTATTATTTTAAATTAACCAAATTAAAGCTCATTAGTTTATTTTGCTTATTTATTTAAATTTAAAATATAAAAAAATCAATTTTAATAATTTATTATTTTTCTTATTTTCTTATAAATCCAAACTTCTTAAATATTTAAACATTTAAATTTAATTTTTTTTAATTAACTCATATAATACATGGGTCTTACATCTAATTTTTACAAAACGACCCTAATTTTAGGATCCAAATTTTAGAACACATAAATATATTCATTGTGTGTCATTCTTTTATAACAACACCAGAGGACTTAGACTTTGTCTTCAACTTCTTAACAAAATTCTCAAGGACAGATATATCTAGAACAGAATCAGTAGGAACTCCCTTCTCTAAATCACTTTGAGTTTTCTTCCTCTTAGAAACACCTTTTACTGTCTTCCCTGAGCCATTTGGCTTCTCAGAAATAAATATATGAGTAACTACTTTAGGCTTTAATGTGGACTTCTTTTTCTTAACAACTTGAGAAGCTTTAGATGAACTATCTACCTCCTTAAATGTGACATTCTTTAAAGTAGAACTAAAAGAAGTAATATCCAATGAAGCTTTGTATTGGATTAGAAACTGATTCGAAGCAGATACTAGGTTAAGTATAACATCAAGTATCTTCCCAAAAACCAAAAATACCATAGGATCATCTAGAGAATCCTTTAAAATTATAAGAGTTGAGATTTGAGTAGTCTCAACATCTTCAGGTACCTGAATTCCTGCTTGGCTAAAAGTTTCATGCAAATTAAGACTCCAAAATCTGGCACTAGCTATCTCAATGGACACCTTCGAATGCTTGATAGATGTGTTAAATTCATCTCACGGTATCAAAGCATAAACAACTTTCATTCCATAGTATAATCCCGCCATAACAAAATAAAAATTAACTTTCACCTTATCAAGTCCACAATTCCTTCCAGACAGACAACGAACAGTGATACCAAAGAAAAAACTCCAAACACTTGGTAGATTCAACTTTTTAAAACTGCTAATAAGAGAAATATGGGGTTGATAACCTATTTCATAGAACATTTGAAGTATCTGATCAGGCGTATAGACTTCAAATGAACTGTCTGATGGAAACTAAAGGATTTGGGTGAACTGTTTCTTGTGTAACCACTTGTTGCGTCTGGATTCCATCTGGAATGTAATAAGTTCAGCCATCTTGTTGTAAACGGCAGTAGTGGCAACAAGTGATAACCAGTTCAACGGAATATCAAACGATGTGGTTAGATCATAATGTAGTATGGAATCATTCAAACACTATACAGCCATTTTCAGTTTGTTTTGGATAGTCGTCGATCGATGGATTAAACCACACATTGTTTCATTGAACCTTCATCTCTGGCATAAAAAACTTCATTGTCGGTTATATTGTGGTAATTGAAAATAGTGTTGGTCGTAGACATGTTGATTGTTGAGAGAATTTTGGAAGATAAACAAAATTTAGGTTTAGGGTTCTTGCATAAATTTTGGGAATCAGAAATATTGAATTGTATTTGCAAGGCTTCTTTTATAACCAGTGTCACGTTCAAATTCAACCAAGGTCCAATGATCAAAATCCACATGTAAAGTGAGTAGTTGAAGTGACTGCAGCCCCATGTACCATGTGTATAAGTAATGAGTGCTTTTCTCGATCCATGATAAAGCAACAGTTGTGTCACATCCTAATGGTTACTTCGCTATTGCCAATAGAATCAAAAAGTCACCAAGATTCGATAGTATCAAGAACCATTCTTCGACAATTACGGCTAGGCCTCATTCACTTATGGGAATTTTAAGTGAAATTATGTAACAACCTAAATTTCATAGGAAAATTTTCATTGAATAATTAATAATATCAACCACATTTGTTTCCAAAAATCCCATTACACAACTACATTATTTAAAAGATCATAGTACTCAAATACTAATTGCATAAATACTGGGGAGTGCACGTTGTGTGTGATAGATTAGGTGTCTAAGCCTATAACTATATACTTGATTTGATTATGAGTACGGTCCTTTTGGGTTGCCTTCACTCATTTAACTTGATAGGATGACAAATGGATAGAGAGTAGGATTTATTATATGAATAATAAATTAGTACTCAGAATGATTTTATTAATACATTATTTGGAAATCATATTATTAATTAGTAATTAATTAGAAATTAATTTGATATTAATTTTGAGATTAAAAGGAACTGATTAATAATGGAGGGATTGGTTTTGCAAATCATTGATAGTTGTAAAGTTGAGCTGTTGGACTCCTATGGGAGGACTAGATGAAATCTATAGGAGGCCCTAATTTGTCCAAGGCTTCTATTATGGAGGTTCATGGATTGCTTAAGGCCTAAGCAAGGAAATTAGGGTTTCCACCTGAAAACCCTAATAGCCCCAACTATTAAACCCCCTTTGACAAAGGATTTCGGCTCCCATGCTATTCTAAGAGAACCTGGTTGATTTCTAGTATCTCTCCAAGTCATCCTTGTTGTATTGAGTGTTTGCGACTCCATTAGAGGTGCAACACTTGGGGAACTAAGCTTTCAAGAGTCAAGGACTTCAAGGATTCTCTTGTTATTACAATATAACAAGTGAGGTAATCATCAAACCCTAATATATATATATATATATATATATATATATATATATATATATATATACATACTAGCCGTCTACCCGCACAAAGCGGCGGGCAACAAATAATTTGATCTCTTTAGAGTTAAAATCATTTTGCGTTCACTTCGAGAAATGAATTTCAAATGACATCTATTTTTCAAGAGCATTACCATACCATATTAAGGGGTGTTTGACTAAGCTTTTTTTAAAACAACTTATTAGGTTCCACATCACTATAAGTTAAAAAAGTGTTTGGATTAAAATAACTTATTCCGATGGGGAACCTCTAATACGTCATTTTTTCATAAGTTACCATACATTTACTTATTAACTTATAAGCTAATAAACTAATAAGCAATAAGCTTTTTTGCCAAACACCCCCTAAATGGTTATTACTTCCATTTATACATACCCAAACCACTTGTACTGTTTATCGTCCTCTTTTTTTTCGTTTTCCTTAATTCCTTTATTAATTTAATGTCCTACTAAGTAAAATGATAAAATATATAAATAATAGTTTATAAAAATAAACCTTTAGAATATTAGGTGTTGTGATTCAAAAGTCGATAAATAGGCCTTTGAGAATGCCAAAATACTCAAGTGTCAACTTGTTCATTGTAATTTTAAACCAAGTTTGGTCACAAATTAAAACATTTTCAACGATGGTATGTAATTCAAGGATTCATATTGATTTAGGTTCTCGAAACCTTAAAATATTGAACAAAATCTATATATAACCTTATAATAAGGACAATAATCACCGTAATCAGGAAGTCCATGTGATGAAACTTGATATTATAAGGACCAATGATGAAAAATGTTTCATTTTTAGACTAAACAAGATGAAAAATATACAAACTACCTTAATCATGTCAAATCTTGTGTTTAACCGTTCTTTATTGCAAAAGTAAGATGTCAAAATATACAAACTAATGATAATACAATGCTCTAACTGGCCCTCTTGGTTGAGTTCTTTGAACCTGCAAAACCAACACATTAAAGAAACATAGTAAAAAAAAATTTAGGAACAAACCTGATATAATAAAATCTTCACCCAATATATTTATAAAATAAAAATACAAAAAGTTAGAAATGATGAAATCAATTACAAGTAAGGATTAAAATAAAAACCTGTTAAGAAGGAGTCATCTGCAAGAGGGATATTTGAATCAACATGTATTTTCTGATGGTTTCAAATTTTGAATTATCCGAAATTCAGGGAAGGAGATAGAATTTGTTGAGAAATATAAGGATTCAAAACACAGGTTAAAATTTAATATTATTTTATTGATGACTACGTGTACTATTAGCTTAATGATTTGAACGTCTTAAAAAAATAATATTATTATATTCAATCTATTTTTAGAAATAGTGGGATTTCTTTTATAAGATAGTAAAGATATATATATATATATATATATATATATATATATATATATATGTGTGTGTGTGTGTGTGTGTGTGAATTTCGAAATTATATATACTATATCTAGGGTTCATTTCTTTGGTATTGAATTTGCATGTTCAATAGAGAAAAACTTAGATCCAAAGTAATTAGGGTTGCATGATCACATAGGATTGTAGATATGCTCAAAACCCATCAGTGGTATCACAGCCTAGGGTGTTTTTCAATTGAATAGATGTAAGAGTGAATTGTTCAAAGCTATAGAAAATCGAAATATGTTGTCTGACTAGGGAACTCGACGAGTTGACTTGTCTGTAACCTAAAATTTCGATTTCCTAATCAGATTTTGATTTGGATAATTACCATAACTCGTTTTATTGCCTAAAATCGATTTTTCTTATTGGTAACTTGATATCCTTACCAAAATTAAAGATTTGCTTAAATTTGGATGATATAAGATTGTTTTGATTCATAGATTTAACCAAGTCATTTTAAATAGTTTCAAATTACACCCTTTTGGTTTTATAGTTTAAATTTAAATTAAAAGTTCTGATTTTAGTAATTTAAATAGTTAAATCTTCGCATTTTGATAGTTTAAAATATATCCTCATGGATGTTATTAATAAGATTAATTAAGTGTTTAATTAAAAGAGAATTAATATATCCATAATATGGTTTAAATTTAATTGAGTTAAAAAGTTTAATTTATTAAACGATTAAACCACTTAGTATTTTAAAAGTTTAAAATACACTCTTATACTATATAAGATTAAAAGCTTAATTATATATATATATATATATATATATATATATATATATATATATATATATATATATATATATATATATATATATAAGTAAAGGTCTGTCTTCACGTTAGTATGCCCCATTCACGAAGCTAGTCTATAAGGGGTGTTTAAGGAAGCGACCTATAAAATGACCGCCATTGGGTATTCACTTACATACCGTACTCTTGACTAGTGGAGGGTCGTTAGTCGAACGGGTAGGATAGGACACTAAATCCTCATTAAAAGAATAATGAAAATATAAAGTAACTAAACACTTTTATAAATTCCCAATCTTAGTTACTTTAGGAAAATGTGAATTTGATGTTAACCCATGAAATTGCACATTACACCTTATTGGTCAGTTAGTGGAGCGTGTGTGGTTAACCGACACACTAATATGGACTAATGAATGATGGCAATGGGTTTCTCATAAATTATCATTGATCAATGGAGCGTGCGTGGTTAACCGGCACATTGATTAGGTGATAAATGACATCAAGAGTACCAAGCTAAATTGCATGGTTAACCACACCTTGTTTGTGATCCTTGGTATCCCAGTCACAAACTTGAAGTGCATAATCGAGATTACACATGTCATTGAAAAGTTCAATGAATATCAAAAAGATATAGGAAATTCATTTAAAAACCTAATTCTTTTAAAATTTCGTTTTCATGGTGAAATTGGTAAATCATCATTTACCTACCTTCAATTAATTTACAACTGGTCGTACGACATTTCTCTTCTAAATTGTGAATTATTGTGTTGGGTCCTAGCCTTAATATTTCATTTGGGTGTTATATTAAAGATTAAATCAACTAACTTAAATTTCTCCTATTTGTAGATGTCTTGTTCTGACAACTATGGTCTTCCTCATCCTTTTGGAAAAAGCTTTCTGTCTGAAGATAATATTCCAAGTGTCGATCAAGGTGAAAGATCATTCCCTTATTTGAGCATTGGTGGAACTAGAAATCATACTTCTCTTCCTCGTTAGGGCAAAAACCTTAGCCCCCAGCTGTAAATCATGCGTCAGATAGTTATCCCCGTGAGGCTTCAACTGCCTCGAAGCGTAAGCTATCACATGACCCCGCTGCATTAATATTGCACCCATGCTTGTGATCGATGCGTTATAGTAAACCACGAAGTCGTCAACTCCCTCTGGCAAAGTCAGGATCGGTGCCATGCATAGTTGCTGTCTAAGAATCTCGAAGACTGCCTGCTACTCATGTCCCCAGCGAAAG